CCCATCAAGTTTCCAAGCCAACCTTGGGAGAAGCTCGGAATCGATATTGTTGGCTCGATTTATCGTGCGCCATCGTCTCAGCGATTCTTCATTGTTCTCATAGATTACCACTCTAAGTGGCCCGAAATCCAAGCTACATGTTCCGTAACGTCAGCCACAGTTATATCGTTCCTGAAGAACGTTTTTTCCCGGGAAGGACTTCAATGTGAGATTGTCTCTGACAATGGTGTCCAATTTGTATCTCGTGAGTTCCAAGATTTCTTGCGTCAGCATGGTATTGAACATAGGACAACAGCTCTGTATCATCCTCAATGTAATGGGCAGGTCGAAAGATTTAATCGTGTCCTGAAGTCTTGCCTACAACTCGCTGTAGTACAAGGTCGTGGTGCTCCTCTCCTTTCAGCTGTGTTGGTATATAAACATTGGTATTTAGCACCATTCAAAACAAGCTTCAAGTCGCGGACAGCATCGATGCCAAGTAGTGAGCGTCCAGTCTTAGTGACGTAAAATTCCAAAGCCGCCCATCGATCTTTAAAGATTACTTGTCCAACAAAGCATCCCAGGACAGGGATCGCATCCTGCATGTAGTGTACGAGAGTCTTCGGTGGTGGATGTAACTTTATGCTGTTATCCCTGTTGATTTCATTAAACGCACGTTCACTCAAGATAGATACAAAGGTACCTGTATCAACAAGGAGGCGGAGTGGAATTCCATTTACCGTGATCTCTGCCGTGAAAGCGTCTCGATACACGGTGCCGCTGTCGCCTCGCTCCGCCATCTCGACAGGAAGCGGGTTGTCTTCCAGGAACGTCACACTTGACAGCTGATCCTGAGCAGGAAGGGGATCCACCAGGCCCACCAGGTTAGCCCTGGCTCCTCTAGACTGCCGGTCGGCGAAGGTTCGCCGCGAGTCACGGCCTTGCACCGGGAACGAAGACTGACGCCGGTCATACATGAAGGCAGAGGACGGCGGACGACGGCTCCGACAGATTGCCGCGAAGTGGCCCAACTTCCCGCACAGGAAGCAGGTCGCCTGAGCCGCCGGGCACAGTGCGCGTTCATGATTACGTCGGCCGCAGAAGTAGCAGGCGCCGTCGGCGTCTCCCCATCCAATCCGTGGCGGAGCAGGATCACGACCTCGCTGCTGCGGAAAAGACCGCGCCGATAACCGGGGCACGTGACCGGGGACGGCCGGGGCCCAAGAAATCCTGGGTTCAGGCTGCGACGGGGTGTATCCATGGTAGGGCCACGGGGGGTAGCCGGGTTGGCCATCTTGAACAGCACCGGTGGAGGAAGACGGCCATGGACCGCCATCTTGAAAGGTCGGCCGACGCGGCGTTCGAATGGGCGCGCGCTCCTGGACGCGCTGGACTTCAGCCGGTGCTGATGCCCGGGGTTGTTCGTGACGATGAAAGGATTCCGCCTTCTTCGCGGACTGCTGATATTGAAGTGCTAACTGGATAGACCTGATAGCGTAGGCACCCCACTGCCGGTACATTCTCGAAGAATGCGATCCTGGACGCGTTTCGAGTCCAACCCTTCCAGGAAAGCCTCACACAACCGTTCATCTAGGTTGTCCCCGAAAGCACAAAACGAGCCCTGCCGGCGCAGCTCGGCGAGGAACTCGCTAACCGTCTCTCCGGGACGCTGAATCATCTCTCGAAACTTCCTGCGTTCTAGCGAAACACAGCCGGAAAACTCGAAGTGATTACCGACGGCTTCTAGAAATGGTTGGAACGCGTCGGTTCCTTCAGCGACGGGCGTCTCATCGAGTTGAAAGGCATCCACGATGCGCTGCCCTGCTGTACCCAACAAAGAAAAGAGCATGGCTTCCTTACGACGAGGTTCGACGGCCTGTAACCCCGACGCGTCAAGGAACGAGAGGAAGGAACGCTTCCAGGCAGGCCAAGCCACGGCTGGCGAACCGGGCATCAGTTCCGGATATCAACAGTCCTTCATCTTCTGGGTTGCAACGAACTGCAAGTTCCGGACTGGCTTCAGCTCTGGATGTAAACAGTCCTTCATCTTCACCTTCACTTCCGGTTTCTGAAGAAACCACACCGAAAGTCCTGAACGATTCAAGTCCGCAACACCATCCTCAGAGTCAAGGACTTCAACGTCCACACCATCATCCTGCGAAGGCGAGTCCATCAAGTTCTGCATATATAGACCCAACAAGTCATCATAGAAATACAAGCAATGCTCCTGTTACATCAAATGCATCCACACGAGATACATCCAAGTTGCCACCAGGTTTCGAAGCATTCGAACATCTTTTCAGTCCTGGATTGGGTCTGCTAAAAAAACCACACACATACGGCTAAGCTGCGACATACTGTTCCACCTGCACAATCGAAGCTCCGACGTCTCCCGATGACTCTAAGGGATCGTGTCTCTGAAGAGATTTTCAAGTTAGAACGACAGGGTGTCATTGAACGTGTCGATGCTTCTGAATGGGTGTCACCCATCGTCATCGTACAGAAACCAGATAGTAACATCCGAATGTGTGTTAATCTTAGGGAGCCGAACAAAGCTGTCGTCATAGATTAATTTCCGCTTCCTCATATTGATGAACTTTTGAATTCCTTGCGTGGAGCAGCTGTCTTCTCAAAACTGGATCTGGCATCTGCATATCATCAAGTTCGTCTCGACCCGGTTGAGTCGGGACCTCACTTCTTTCATTACACATGAGGGCTTATTTAGATTTAAGAGAGTTTGCTTCGGGTTGGCATCTGCACCCGCAGCATTTCAACAAATCATGTCTAAACTTCTCAAGGACTGTCCTGGTGTCCGGTTCTACTTGGACGATATCATCGTGTATGGATCCTCTTTGAAGGAACACGATGAGAACCTCCGTCGTGTGTTGTGTCGTATTTCCCAAGCGGGAATGAAATTAAATCGTAAAGGTGTCTTTCGAGTTCAAGAACTTTCATTTTTGGGACACCTTCTTTCCGTGAAAGGGTTAGCACCCCTTTCATCTAAGGTAGATACAGTCCTAAATTTTCAAACACCTTCAGATCCAGTAAAGTTGAAAGCGTTTTTGGGTCTTGTTGAATACTATAGTAAGTTCATCCCACATTGCTCCACTATCGTTGAGCCAATGCGTAGACTTCTTCGTAAGGATTTTCATTTCAACTGGTCTCCGGAAGTCGAGGCTAGTTTCCAGAATGTAAAGGCTTCCATCCAGAAAGCACCTATTTTGTCCATGTTTCACCCGACATTACCTATAGTCGTGGCAACAGATGCTTCACAGTGTGGTCTTGGTGCTGTTTTACAACAACAATATGGTAATCAACTTCGTCCTGTGGCTTTCGCATCTCGCTCACTGACTGATGCTGAGCGCAGATATTCAACTGGCGAAAAAGAAGCACTCGCATGTCTTTGAGCCTGTGAGAAGTGGCATGTTTACCTGTGGGGAAGATCGTTCGTCATTCGAACTGACCATCAAGTGTTGGTTACTTTACTTTCAAACAAAGGTTCCAGAATTCGTCCTTTACGAATCACCCGCTGGTCGGCAAGACTATTGAATTACAATTTCAAGATGGAATTTCAGAAAGGAGCAGCCAATGTTGTCGCTGACGCATTTTCAAGATTACCAGTTGCCGACACTGAAGAAGGCATGAAGTTCGACGAGGAAGTAGTTTGTACCATCATGGCTCCATTGTCTAAACAAGGTTTTCAAGAGGCTACGGCTATCGACACAGTCCTGCCATCAGTGATTTGTTACACTACTTCATCCTGGCCGCAAGACAGTAACTCAATTGCAGATCTACGACCTTACTATCAGGTACAAGATCAACTTTCTTTGAACGAAGGGATTCTATACAAAGGCGAAAAGATGGTTGTTCCTGTAAAACTACGTGATTGTATAATTGAACTGGCGCATGAAGTCTACCAAGGAATATCAAGAACCACAAGTGTAATCCGCGAACACTACTGGTGGCCTCAGATGAACCAACAGATGAAAGTGAAGATAGAAAATTGCACAGTGTGTCACTCAACGGACGAAACAGTCAAGGCGGCACCAGCTCCTTTACAGCCCATCAAGTTTCCAAGCCAACCTTGGGAGTAGCTCGGAATCGATATTGTTGGTCTGATTGATCGTGCGCCACCGTCTCAGCGATTCTTCATTGTTCTCATAGATTACCACTCTAAGTGGCCTGAAATCCAAGCTACATCTTCCGTAACGTCAGCCACAGTTATATCGTTCCTGAAGAACGTTTTTTTCCCGGGAAGGACTTCAATGTGAGATTGTCTCTGACAATGGTGTCCAATTTGTATCTCGTGAGTTCCAAGATTTCTTGCGTCAGCATGGTATTGAACATAGGACAACAGCTCTGTATCATCCTCAATGTAATGGGCAGGTCGAAAGATTTAATCGTGTCCTAAAGTCTTGCCTACAACTCGCTGTAGTACAAAGTATTAAGATAAGATAATAAATTATGCACGCAGTGAGGCACAGTGCAAACATATTTTGTGCAGGGAGCACAAGATATGTTTGCAGCACTGCGCCTGATTCCAAACAAACGCTTTATGGATACACAATATAGGCTCCTTGCACATGACGTCATTTCCGATACCCTCCAGAGAAGAGGGGGAGAAGGAGCTCCCCTCTTATCAGGACCCTCCTTTGTGTCTTCCGGATTTGCACAGGCGTCGCTATTCTCCTCCCAGAAGATTATAGAAGATTAACCCGTCACTCAAAATTCTTACAAAAGCAGCTTCCCTCTCCTCCTTTTACTTGGTGTGCAAATGTGTGCGATGTGACGTCAATGCAAGGAGCCTATAGCCAAATCCAATCGCCAAAATGCAACTTAGTATGTTAATTTAATCAGACATTGCTTTCCATTCGGATTAAATTCTCGAATAACAAATTTCTTCGTGAATTCGTTGAAATATATTAAATAAGCATTGACGATGAAGCACGCACATGTAAGTTTCGTTTTATATGCATATAATCGCACGTAAAACATTTATCAATGTTTCTTTTGTGTTCTAGGGGCACAGTACAGGAATTCCAGCTATGCGGAACCCGTTTACAACTGCACGCTTAAAGCTTTGCCCCCAATCGTGAGTTTATCTTGCGTAAACTTTTTGTTCTTTGTGTGTGCTAACATGACATACAGAAATTCTTTTATGATATGTTGATTGTTCCTTTATAGATGATATAAAATGTTTCACATAAACGTAGAAACCCTTAAAGACCGTTTTTGAACGATTTGGTTTATTCTACTTTTTGTTTTCATTACAATCTGCAAATTGTTGCATCCCGGAAAAGAGGGGGGGGGGGGGGGGTACTTTTCTATACTCTGATCATCCCTAATCTGAGAGTAGAAGCTCCGCCTTCAGCGCGAGCTTTCTACCCTTGCTAACGCAGGTGTGAACGCCCAGGCACGCGGAAGGAAAGGATTGCGGAGGCACGGCCGGACTGGAAGCGCGCGCTCTCAGAGAAAGAGAGCGCGCGCTTCCTGTCCGGCCGTGACGGAAGCCAGCGAGCTCGCCCTGAAGGCGGAGCTATTGGGGAGGAGGACAGACCGTGACGCCCCAAGCGGTTAACCTAACAACTACACGGATGGGGACAACAAATACAATGACGCAGCGCTCGGCCGACATAACCGAACGCGGCGTCAGCGTTCGGCTGGAGTTCGTGTTCTCCGGCGAGGGGGAGGAGGGGCTGTTTCGTTTCCACTCGGCCTGCATGAACAATGCAGCATGCACGATCCCAGCTCATCACAAAAGCCTAAGTGGGTCAAGCTCGCATTCTCTGAGGATAGATCCGGCACTTAACGTCGCTTCGTCGATTGTTAGTATTTTTTTTATTAAACTGCGCCCCGCGCTCTATTGTAGAAGATGACATGCACATGCCCATAAGGCCTGTCGGCATGTGCACAGGCCTTGTGTTGAGTAAACACCAAGCGTGGGGAAAACAAACGGGTCAGAGCGCCCCCTATAGTTCGATCTCCTGCCCATTCCAAAAAATGCTCCTAGGCCGCCGCCATGTTGCTGATGCTGATGCGACTGGTGCGACTCTCGCGCCCTCTATCAGCTAGAAATTTTCTGCCACTCTCTGGGACTGTGAAGACCCGCTCAGCGCGGTTCTCTACCTACGTTTTTGCTCTTTTGCATTCGACGTTTTCTCGCCCCTCTTGAAAGTTTGCACTTAATTTTTTTTTTTATGCGTGCTGCGTACTCTTTTTGTGTTATCTTCCATTGTGAGAAAAAAGGCTGGTTAGTGCCTGCCATTCAAGTTTTTCTGCTTTACATTCACGGAAAGCGAAAGAGGTGAAGGACGTCGAACGACCCTCGACGCGATTTTGCGAACATTGTTCTCCCCCTCCCAGAGATAATCCGCGTAGAATCCTCAGTCGTCTCCAAAAATAGTTGTCCGGTTTGGGGTGAGAAACGGGTCAGTCGCGTTTGTTTCTTTGACTTGGTGCGGTTCTGAAAAAAGGAAGCTCTCCCCGAAACGTGCCCCGAAACGAAGCGTTCTCGGATTCCGTCCGATCGCCAGGATGTGACTGTCGTCGACTGTGACTGTGTTATTTGAGATCTTTCTCAAATAAATTATTTTCGGATAACGCTGCATCGTGTGGTACGTACGATATATTTATTGTTCGGATGTTAACACTTCCTCAATTCCTGCCCATCGGTAAACACGTTATTTGTGAGCGTGAAAAATGCATGACTTTCGGCCCTCTTCTGTTGCAATTTATTTTTGACAGCAAAGCGCTTTGTCGTTTCACATGCGGTGAATCCCGCCGCGCCGTCAAAACTTATCGTGAGAAAAGAAACAAATAATTAGAACTATACATTCCAGTCGCATTCGTTCTGTCGCGCGCGTACCCAACAAAAATAGCTTACAGTTTTTTTGTTTTTTCGTTTTTTTGCTTTTTTAAATCTGGCACATTGCTTTCTCTCAATGTTCTCGGGAACATACATGTACCATGAAACACAAAATATAGCGGTAAAATACGAGAATTTAGCCGCCAGCAGCGTTTGAAACTGCACCTACGCAGGCTGCGCCTGTTGAAATCACAGTCCACTCGGTTAGGGTTAGGAGGGACGCCGGTGAGAGTCTAGCCTCAAACTCAGTGACTGGGCTCGAAAACGGTTTGTTGCCCCTGGGGTCGAGTGTTTTTTGGAAAGGTGTATAGGCTCCTTGCATAAGACGTCATTTCCGATACCCTCCAGAGAAGAGGGGGAGAAGGAGCTCCCCTCTTATCAGGACCCTCCTTTGTGTCTTCCGGATTTGCACAGGCGTCGCTATTCTCCTCCCAGAAGATTATAGAAGATTAACCCGTCACTCAAAATTCTTACAAAAGCAGCTTCCCTCTCCTCCTTTTACTTGGTGTGCAAATGTGTGCGATGTGACGTCAATGCAAGGAGCCTATAGGGAGTATTCACTGGACGCCATATTTGAGGGCGATGTTTAGAGCGCATGCTCAGAACGAGCTCACATTATTAATAGCCTGCTAAGACCGGCAACCTTGATGGTGCTAAATGCACGCTCCAAAAGGACTGCGGAAGCTCGCCGTCAGCACGTGCTCAGCAGCAGCGCACACGGATATGGCCGCCAGTGAATACTCCCTATAGTAAAATATAGATGCTTTCCAGAAAACTACACGTCAAGGGAACCTTTGACACTTGAGCAACCTTTGCTCGCCAACATTTTTCCCGCTAATATATTTTTCTTTTGCTTGACGTGGGTAGCGTTTTAACATCTGTCTTGTTCACTTTAGTCATTCACAGCTTTAGAAATACTGGGTGTGGCGAGTTCCGAGCATCCTGTTATCGCTCGGAAGCTTATAAGATTGTTACATTAGTCGACAAGAACGCCGAAGAACCAATTACGAAGCAAGAAGCGCGAACAAATGAAGTCACGCCACGTGTTTCTTAATATTTCAGTGACCATAGACACAATGACATAAATATTTTTTTCATGTCCTATTTTGTATTGAATGGGCATTTCAAAGCGACTATAAGAAATTGTACTCTTAAAATAATGTTAGGCGGCCGCACTCTTCCGGGCCCTATGAAGCACAAACAGTTTACACGAGCATAAAAGAGACACATGTAAGATATATTACAGAACTCTAAAAAAAAGCACTTCATTAAAGGGACCATGAAGGCAGTTTCGAAGTTTTATTCGACGATTGAAATGGATGTCAGGCACGTCACAGATACTTTTGACCTAGCGCCGGGAACGATGCCTGAGACCCCACCGAGGCGGCGGCAGAAAGGTGAACTAAAGGCGCCGTAGAAGCGTGACGACAACGGGCTCCTCGTCTGGCGATTGGTTCAAACGATAGACGCGCTCTTGGTTTCAATTTCGGGTTGTGAGATGTGATGAAAAACGTTTATTTGAACGTTGGATAATCTTTTGAAGTTGTAGTTGGGAATTAATAGGTTTCATACCGTGTATAAAAGCATAATCTGAAGCGATCCCTCCGTTTGTCACTGCTTGAACGCATCCCGCACTGCTACCTCGGGCGCGTAACAAGCATCGAGCAACCATGGACAGAAAGAAAAAGAGGTACGAGCCCCGGGGGCGGCGGACTCTTGGTTTTGGTTTCGTGCGTCGTCTCGTGTTCGCTTTGCGAACTGGCGTCTCACCAATCATGCCGCGTTTATGTGCAGTAGTAGGTTGCGCGAAAGGTCGTCTAAAGACGTGCGGTCGATCGGGCGACGTTAGTTTGCGTAAACTGCCGACCGATGCAGCAATGCGCAGCATTTGGTTGCGCGCCGTCGTCTTGCGTAGAGCTGTGGACAGCGGTGTCAGGATTTGTTCGTTGCATTTCCGACCAGAAGACTTTGAGCAGCGCCTTCACGTCAGCCGGAGTCTGGGTAAAAACATGAAGTTCCCGCGTCTGAGGAGAGCGCGGCGTTGTCGTCCATTTCTTCCAGGTTTTCTTCACAGACCGCCGTGCACTAGAGCGAACCACGGAACCCATACTGAGTGTGCACTGAATCCTACCGATGCCGGCAGTGCTCCCTGACGTCACTTCTCTTTCCAGAGGCGAAAAAGGGAAGAAATCTGAATGTTTGTTTCGGTTTCGCAAATTTATTTGCAGCTACAGAAATAAGAGTCACAACGTTCTTGAAAAAGTTGTGTGGCATGCCAGGACCCCAATGCTCCCAAAAACACCTTCTTTAAAAAAAAAAAAAATTAAATTCCCTTCATGGTCTTTTTAAGTTGTACATTACAGTGACAATAACAACAGATTAATGAAAAAAAAAAAACAGTTAGGGCGCAGGCGAGCTGGTGTAAGTTTACAATTTTTTAGACCACCTGAGACTGGGTGGAAGAAACACGACGACGTCTCTTGAGACGTCGTCGTGTGTCTTCCACCCATTCTCAGGTGGTCTAAAAAATGGTAAACAACAGATACTCGTGCATCAGTCAGTGTGTTTGTACGGCTCGTTCCTTATGCTTGTACTTGCGTCCTGAAAATAGGCAGGAAGGGGGGAGGGGGGCTGTCCCCTTTAAAGGAGCTGTGCAACGATTTTAACGTTGAAAGAATTGGAATCTCCTACTTTTGACATTCTTCACCTTGTCACTAATGATCGACAGAAAACACACCTCCTTCCATCGAAATGTTGCGATTCCGCCGAGTAATAGCGAGGCAAAAATTTTAATATTCCCCGACCTCCAGCCGCGAGCGGCGACCATGAGAGACACGCGGCATGACGTCAATGGGGGTCTTGTAGACAGATAGCAAGTTGTGCGAATACCTGCTCGATAAAAGGTAACTTTTCTATAAATCTTGTCGTTGCAACATAAATATAAATGCGTCAAAAACCTGGTACCATCGACAAAACTGTTATTATACAGAGTTTTAGTGGCGCCATCTATCCTAGGTCCACAAAACCGTCAACTCGATCTGCTACCGCGAACAGCCGCTAGAAGCCGGAGGGGGAGGGGGACAGGGCCGGACGGGTATGCCGGACCCGGATGAGACTTTTCTCCTTTCACCATATTGTTCGTGCTGCGCCTGCCAGCACGTGGTCACGCGGTCGCGAGCAGACGAGTTCTGACTACTCACTGATGCCTCTAAAGATAGAACTTTACGGAACCCCGCGCCTACCCCATCGACGTCACTGCGCACGTGACCCGGAAGACGATGTACGAGTTAAGAGGTGGCAAAAACCTAGATTTTTTTTTTCATTTTTTTAAATAAAAACTAGGGTTGTCTGGTTTTGTCTGGTTTTTAAATAAAAACCAGGACAAAATCTATTTTCTGTAGTTCACTTCAAAAGTGTCAGGCATCAACTTCCACAATTATTTAAACAAAGCCCTGAAATTGTTGCACAGCTTCTTTATGCTGACGAGTAACCAGAAAGGAGGAAACTCCCTCAATCTCGTTTCCTTTCGACAAAAAGAATGTACAGTGCCCCTCAAACTTAACGCCGCCACTAGATCGTCCGGTTTATTCACTTGTTGAGCTATTCCTGAACCTAGTGGTCGAACTACTTGGTGAACATTCGCGTCCCCGATAAGAACCCAACCAGGGGAAGGTATTCGAGCAGCTGCAGCGACCAATTTATCTTTAGGTAGCATGCAATAGATCAATATTTGCGTAACCGAGTGTAACCGAGTGGTGGCGTTTAGTTTGAGGTGCACTCTACCTCCTCCTTCCTGAGGGAAGTAGCTCAGACAGTGACTCCCGTGGTGAGAGGAGAGTGGAAGAGAGTGAGAAAAAAAGAGGGAGAGGGAAGTTGGGAACCTGTTTTCTTCCCGGCAAAAACGATTCTGTAGGTCGGTCTTTAAAAGCTCCCACTTCAGAAAAATATGCATTGTGCTCTTCTTTTTATTAACAAATGATAATATCTATTAAAAATTTAATAAAAATTGGTAACCCGTAGATTTTCATGGGTTATTGAAGTGCACCGCCAAATGATATTTATTTTGTATTTTAATTCTATGTTCGACGAAAAGTCACCTTATAATTATAAATGCCTTATCTGATTTATGCAATAGAGGGCTCCAGGCCAGGCTATCAGAAATCTACGCCAAATAGGCAGTGGTGAACCTAGGGGTGATCACGCCGGTGCCAATTAGTCTTTCGCACGCCTGATGATGATGATTATTTTACGTAAAATCCCGCATTTCCACGAAAGTCATCGAATGTCTCACAGCACGTGCATGCCATTGCGGGCATCTTACACACGGAAAAAGGTACAAAACAAGATAACTTCGTATCAAACCTCCTTGTAACCTTTGCCTGACGCACATACTTTGAAACAAAAGAAAAAAGTAAACTTTTAAAAGCTGAATTACTTTCAAATATTTTTGAACCCCACAGAGGAGACAAACAAATAGGGCATGTTAATATTTGATAAATCGCGAAGGCGCTTAGATAAAGTTATTGACATAAATCAGCAGAAATGTGCTTTTTAGGTTTCTGGGGTTTTATTTGCCACGTTCTTCACAGAACAAATACAAAACAAAAATGTATACATCATGGCCCGGCATAAAAACTACGGCCGAAGGTTTCTTGAATTAGGTGAAGTGGAGTAGTTCACAACCGGGGCGGCCAGATTGACGTGGGGTTAGAGCCGGAGACCTTATGCGAAATTGCTGGGTGGTCTGAAAATACTGAGAGCGTTGTCATTTTAATGTTGGCAAGCGTTGTCGGTACCGATGCACGGTGCATGGAGGAATCAAAGACAATCGTACGGGCAGTAGGCGATGGCGCGGCAGCTGTGTTTTTCGCCTTCCGACCATGGAATGTGGACAAACAGTTTAAACAACCTACCGCAACTTTCTGACGAAACTCTTGGAGGCCTGTGCACGCTGGCGACAACCTCGTCGAAGCAGCGGAGCGAGTCCTACACCTTCGCAGTGGAAGCTTACACATTGCGGGCTGTCGCCAGATTGCACATGACCGCCAGGAGTTTAATCAGATATTTGCGATAAAAATGTTCGTCCACATTCCATGGTCGGAAGACGGAGAACACAGCCGCCGCGCCATCGCACACTGCCCGTAGGGTTGCCTCCGATGCCTCCACCGTGCTTCGGTACCAACGACACTTGCCAACGTTAAAATGGCGACGCTCTCAGTGTTGTCAGACCACCAAGTAATTTAGCATTAGGTCCATTGTCGACTACAACAAATAACAGCCGAACGTTCTTTCAACCGCTTCAACGCCCCTTATCCGCGTATACAGTTCGAAATTCTTTCTAGAGCAATAAAGGAACCAGGGTCACTTGACAAATCTATGTTTCAAAAAGCAGTCCTGCTGTATGTACGTAGTGTAGTACAAGGCTGCCAAGACGTTTTTTCTTTAATTCTAAAACTCTCTTTGTTTTGGGGACACAGGCGGGGAAGGGGGGCACGTTACCAGGTAGTTGCGAGCCGCTCTTGGATCCTCGAAGAGCCGCAGTTTGGCCACTCCTGCTCTACAACGTCATCCCTGTCAGCTTTCTCCAGTTTCTTCTCTTTCTACAGTTAACTGAGCGCGATCATAAAGTTTGCTCGTGCCAATAGGGAGTTTTCGTAGACCGCGTTTCGCCCTCCGCTAAGCCCCCCGCAACGAAGCAGCCACTACCGCGCCGGCGCGCCGATGGCCTTGACTGTAGAGTTCCGGCTAGCGTAGCTGGTTGCGGAGAGCGTTGCGGGACAGCGGAGACGATCTACGAAAACTCCCTTTTAGTCTAATAATAATTCACGGGTTTCCCATCGGCCAGTCGCCGGCCCGGCGCCCCCCAGTCCTCTCATCTCTAGCACAAAGCCGAACCCCCCCCCCCCCCCCCCCCCCCCTCTCCCCTCCTCCCCACACACACACACACTCAAACTTCCCCGTGTCGTACGCCACTGCAAATAGGCACTGTAGGGATGGCCGAAGGGGCTTAGCCGAAAGAGCTCGGGGAATTGGCGGCGCGGTCACCCGAAGCGTCCTTCGGAGGCGCCCGATGTCTCACGTTTTCCCTTTGGCGGCAAGCAGCGGCCAGCTCCCGAAAGTGGAAGCAGATTTCCCCGCGTGGGAAGTAAACGAAACCTTCCAGGCGGGAGTGGGTGGTCGCCCTTGCCGCCGTGGTAATTGGGGAAGCGACCTTGTCAGGGCCATGTCGGCGACTCCGGGGAGAGAGGGAGATCCGGCCTCTCTTCGGAATGTCGGCGTGTCTCTTGTTGGAAAAGTTGAGTCTGAACGAGCCCGTGCGCGGAGCAAGACGTTATTCTCCCGCGGTCCCGAGGGCTCCGCGTATTCTGTCTCGCGAGACAGAGGCCTTGCCGTGCGCGGCAAGGGACTTGGCGCCGAGGCGCTTTTGTTGGCGTTGGGTTGCCGCGAGCGGCATCAGCAGCGCGACGTTTTCCTGTTATGAAGCAATGGTGAGGGTGCAGGCTAGCTGGTGTAAATTGAGCATAGTTGTAACCCGAGACTGGGGATACGGACAAGGGACAAAACACAGAACGACTGTGTTTTGTCCCTTGTCCGTATCCCCAGTCTCGGGTTACAACTATGCTCAATTTTCCTGTTTTGTTTTGTAAAGAGTTGTTCGTCATTTGTAAATATATATTTATTTACTCAACACCGAGTCGTGAGCGTCACTGAAGCCACCGGAACGAAGCCACCCTCCAGCCAGCGCAGCACCCCACGATAGACGCAGAAACATTGCTGGCACAGAGAAAAAAAAAGACTGGTTTGTTTGAGGATTTTAGCTGACAAACTGAATGATGTTCTTAAATGTCGAGGCATTTAAAATAAACTATTCAAAAAGTCTGGAACTAGTCTTGCCAATCTGCCGATTAAACATAACTCTCTAGAATAAAAAAAAATAAAAAAAAAAAAAAAACTCGCTCCTGTCTGGGGAGTTTGTCGCATTTTTGCGTTTTTCACTATTGCATCCTTGAAATCTGTGCTACCTGACTTAAAGACTTGTTGGGTATTCCAAGTAAACTAGCACGTACTTAAAAGTTTTAAAGGTGCACATCCATTACGCTGCGGATTTCTAGTTTTTTTCTTTCTTTTTATGCAGGTAAATAAAACCTGGGAGGGAATTAGGCATAACATTAGCAAGACCATACCTGAGTTTGTAAGCTTGATGTGCAACTTCGTAAGTAGACACCAATTGCCCGGGTAAACATTTCGATTCATGAGGGCTCGTTGTGTGACCTGCATTTGTTGTTTTTTAAATGCGTACGCGATTAAAAAAAAAAAACCAATATGGCAAAAAATGTTTAACTTTTATTTTTGTGTTTTCCCCTATTTCAGTGTGTCACTCTTTAATTTATGATTTTCTGTAAATCAGACATCCCCTAAAAAGCTTTCTAGCTATCTTCGATTTTGTATTTATTTCATAAAGCAAGGGCGTTTCTTTTTTACTTTCTTCTGTGGCGAAAATTGCACTGCGCAGTTCAGCGCTCATGTCTCCACAACCTTCATTGCCTCGGAAAGCAACCAAAGCACTGGCTATATACACCAACTTGAAAAATCTAGAAGCCTTTTATTTATTGTTTATTGTAGCGTGAGCCACACTGGCCGAGGTTGAGCAGTTTCGCGTGGCTCGCATAATGAGCCGTGCTCCTTGCTGCGCATACGCGAGGAGCAGTGACGTCACACGGCGCACAGCTGGCGCGCCGGAGCCGACGCCGCCGCGCGACGCCTCGCCGCTCTGCACAGTCCAGAGGAGTGACGTCATAACCGCGGCACACGCACTGGCGCCGCCGCGTGCCCAGCTGTGCGCCTCCGTTGCGCAGTAGCCAAGTCTGACGCTGCACCGGAACCGCTTGATAGCGCCTCTCATTTTGTGCGCATAAGCTCACGCTACGTATATCCTGGCATAGCCGAGCTAAGCCACCGAAATTTGTTTTATATATTCAATGCGAAAAGTTGGTGTTTGTTTTAAAAAAGGCAAAGTTGCCTTTTATTAGATAATTACTTAGGGAAGGGAATTTAGGTCATAATCTAGACGAGAATACTGATGGGTAGATCTTATACAATTTGTATTTGTTATTTTCTATCATTCATTAGCCGACGGCACAACCCCAACCAAACGGCCTCAGTTACATTTATTGTAGTATTTGCATTGAATCTGCGCTTGAATCTTTTGTTATACCATAAAATGAGTTTTAGCGGAACCATCTCATCCCAGAAAAATTGTTCGTCCGTTCATCTGTCCGTTCTTTCGCCCTAAAGTTTGCGGGGAAATTGACGCCACGTGACTGAGGCCACATGATCTACATACTAATTCAGTTCCCCCGTTAAATTAAGTGAAGAAACGACGTCGCGTGACCGCACCAATTCACTTTGCCAGCTAAATTTCGCAGGGAAGGTGACGTCAGGTGACTCACGCAACCATTCAACATTACCGCATATTTTGCATGAACATTTACGTCGTCTGTCCTGTACACCGGATCAGTTTATCCACAAAGTTTAGCGGGTTAACTGAAAGTATCTTCCAGCTTAATTTAGCGGGGAAGTAGATATCCAATAGATTCCTAATTCTTTCCGAAACGACTATCTAATGTCTTCTGAGCAAGTTTAAATGGTATCTGCTTAAATGCTGCATTCCATGCATTTTAGTGCATTGAGATGTACTGCCAATTTGTTTTCTTCTATTTCACGTTAGGATTGAACACCGCTTTCGGTGCCAGAGTTCGATGCTTGTTTTGCATCCACGTTCCTTCAAACTCGGTCAGGGGCGTAGCTTGACAAATACTATCTATTTTGCTGGTGAACGATATACTGGGTGTATCAAGGAGTGGCCAGTCTCTTTAAATCGACCGCAAAATTCGGTTTCTTAACGTATCGTTCTACGACTTTGTGCAGCGTTGCCCACAGATGATGCATTTTTTTCATAAAATTTGCAAAGAGCGAACTTACCTGAGGAAAAAGTAAAGAAAGGTAAAGAAAGGTACTTTGGTGCACAAAAACACCCTGTGTATATATATATATATATATATATATACTGGGTGTATGAAGGAGTGGCCAGGCTCTTTAAATCGATCGCAAAATTCGGTTTCTTAAGCTATCGCGCTACGACTTTGTGCAGAGTTGACCACGGATGGTGCATTTTTTTCGTAAAATTTGCAAAGAGCGAACTTACCCGAGGAACAAGTTAAAAAAAAAAGGCTTAGCTTCTATGGAAATGCGGCGAAGCCAAAGGTCTTCAAACAATACGGCGCCGTGTTGCACAGGAGACAAGAGATGGCGCAAGCGGTCGCGATGCCAACTGCGCCAACGGGTGAGCATACGGCGCCGAGAGCCGGCGTCTTTAGCAGACGATCTTTTCGACTCAAAAGCGGAGCGCGTTCCGCAGGCGGCGGCAGTCGCAGAATCAAAAACAGGCGCGGTAACAACAACGAACTGCAAAGCAGAAGACATCGGTACCCGAAAAAAAAAAAATACAGTCTAAATATCCCGACAAACCATTTTTGTAATCAATTATGTGTCCATTCAATATCTTTTATTAGTAAGGATGATAAAATAATGCATTGGCAACTGATATCAGAAAAGCTCGCGCCGCTTTTGAGTTGAAAAGATCGTCTGCTAAAGACGTCGGCTCTCGGCGCCGTATGCTCGTTCGTCGGCGCAGTTGGCATCGCGGCCGCTTGCGCCATATCTTGTCTCCCGTGCCAAACGGCACCGTATTGTTTGAAGACCTTTGGCTTCGCCGCATTTCCATAGAAGCTAAGCCTTTTTCTTTTTTAACTTTTTCCTCGGGTAAGTTCGCTCTTTGCAAATTTTACGAAAAAAAAATGCACCATCCGTGGTCAACTCTGCACAAAGTCGTAGCGCGATAGCTTAAGAAACCGAATTTTGCGATCGATTTAAAGAGCCTGGCCACTCCTTCATACACCCAGTATATATATATATATATATACAGGGTGTTTTTTTTAAAGCTTTACAGATTTGTTTAAATACCGCTGTGAAAGCTACACCTGTGCTGTTTATGCAGGTGAGTTATACGGCCAGGGGGCATAGTGTACGGGCTAATCGTAACGATCAGTCGGCTAATTAAGTAAAACTTGTTAATTAACTTTTTAAATATGAAATTTATAATGAGCGTCGTCCAAAACCTCTAAATCAGTACTTTTTAGAAAGACTTTGAGCGCGTGAGAAGTGCAATAGTGCGGTAAAGTTGCCACTCGTAAAGCAGGTACAAGGCTGGGGCTCTCATAAAGGCTCTGTTATACTCCGACGCAACGCGCGCGCAGGCGAACGCTGGCCGAAGTCAGCTACGTCACGTCAGTCACGCCGCGCGCGTTAAAAAAAAAATTGGCTTGCTATTTATGTTTATACAGCCTTGATGGAGATGCGCCTCAACGGGTAATCGGTCTCTTAGCTGTAGATGAGAAATTTAGCCAGTGCGGTACAACCGCTAACCTGGGATTTTTAACGTGCATCACGCAGTAGTGATCACACGAACGCGTGCCGGTACGAAACTCATCCAGATCGAAACGGGCGGGGGCGGCGGGGATCGAACCCACGCCGCGCGCGTCAAAAATTCGTCCTCTTTATACTCCGGCGGCCCTGGCGACTCCCGCGGCTGTGCGTCGGTGGGCCGCCGGCGTGGCGCATGCGCAGAATCTGACTACGAGGGCACGTTTCCTGTGAGAGTGCGCCACTTCCGGTTCCTTTTCGTTTTGAATAGCAGACGAGAATGCTCGCGCTTCTTGAGTGCCAAGTTCGAGCGATGGCGTGGACGTACCTTGCACGACGAAAACTCGCACTTGCACTGTTGGTGCACCACCTGCGCCGCAAGCGTAGGCGGTCAATGTACATGCGGTACATCTTTGACAAGCGCCCTTTCTACGGTAATCAAGCTTCCTCGAGTCGTAGACACACGGGTGAGGACGAATTTCTTTCATCACCTTCTCGACGACCGAGTCCGATTCTTCAAACATGACGCCACACGGAGTGGTGCTCCTGTCGTCTGCTATTGCTCGTATTCGCCGCGCTTCCCGCGCGACGCCTGCCGGGAGCCAGCGCGTGATGCATCCTGGTCGGGCGTCGCCGGCGCGGCCGGCGCGGAATACCGCATGCTCCACTTTGGCGTCGAGGAGGTCAGGCTGCGTCGAACGCCGCCGGTCGCGTCGGTTACGCCACATAGAGATCATATACTAAATCTAGAGGAAAAGGTCCGCCATTTTCCCATACATTCTGGCTGCCGCAAGCGGCGGACCATGCAGGCAGACACTCTGGGTCCCAAACACGGTTACATCATCAGAGCAGTTTCGTGAACTTCAACAATCCACGAACTTACCGGTGGAAAGATACTCGCGTTCTTTTCGAAGGTTTCTTTTTGCATAGCGCGCAGATGTACGGCCTCGCGTTAACGCTAAACTAAACCATATACCCGGCTTCGCTGGTGGGGCGCGGCTGGGCGCGGTTGAGGAATACGAAACTGCGCAAATACCAGATTTCCGAGATTTCGACAGAAGGGAAGTTAATGCAGCGTAATGACTTTATTGCTTTTTACTAGCGTTAGAATAGCTCAGAATTTAGTTTACAACGTTAAATTATCACTGTTTATATTGCTGAGAGTTTTCACTCTCCGTGTTTACCATGGCAACGTTGCTTTCTTTCTCTCGTGTTCTGTCGCTCCCTTTTGCGATCGTTCACTCGGGACCCAGGATGTCGGCGCACGGGATTTGCCACTCCTCCTCACCCACCTTTACCCCCCTGTTACGCCAAGAGGCCGGAGTATAGAGCGTCGGGTTTTCGCCGACGTGGCGTCGCTGTGACGCGCTCGCACGCGCGCACGCGTTACGTCGGAGTATAACAGAGCCTTTAGTGTCGGAAAAATCGCGCGGGCGCCTTCCCGCAACCATTAGCCTTGCACCTTCTCCACGAATGGTAACTTTAGTGCATTACTACGCTTCTCACGCTCTGGAAGTCTTTCTGAAAATAATGCACGGACTGACATGTTTTTTATCTTCTGCGCAGACTGTTGTTATGCCTGAAAACTTCTACTTACTTTATATGGTAAGTTGGCGACGCACCTGAAAAAGCAAAGATAATATAATTATAATAATGTTCATTCGTGCGCCCAGAAGCAACCGGCAGGTCTTTACTTTGGTGCACAAATAGAATACACACGTAAAAAAAGCGATCACTACTGCGTGGTGCACGTTAAAGACCCCAGGTTAGCGGTTGTACCGCACTGGCTAAATTGCTCATCTACAGCCGAGACATCAGACGCCCACTGAGGCAGACTAACTTCCTGCTGTATAAACATACACACAACAATTTGCTTACTTTGCAAAAAAAAAAGTGTAGAGCAAGATCAAGACAAACAAGGAAACGATAAATGTAGACAAAATAACGCGCGAAAACGCTAGCTGATCTTCATTTGTTAACTTTTCCCAAGTCTTTACGCCGCCTCTTGGGAAAAAAAATTATATCCTATATCCTGGAGCGGAGACAAAAATAACTTCCTCTGATTTCTCTTAACTGAATTACTCCACTTGTGCTTCCTCGTTCTCACTCAAGTCCTTCGCACTGGTACCTAATCGTTGTTCACACGTATACCGCACCTTGAGGTATTTAGGCTCTACATTCCTTTATATGTCAGTGACACATGTGCGCTCACGGAAGTATTTTTGGTTATTCTGATACAAGGCCTTTCAAAATAATCAGAGTGGCCTGTCTCATAAAAGCCAAATTTTCGTTATACATGATGATTGAAACCTGGCTGTGGTTTGAAAAACGAAAATTCGTCAAAGAGGAAGAAAAAGGGACGGACAACGTCACAAACCTACCTACAAACTTTATTGTTCTGCGCCTTATATGCCTCGAACGTTGCCACCCCAACAACGGACGATCACCGAACCGCAAACAATTCAGTCGGAAACGGGATTGTCGGTAGAGGGTTTTCTCACAGTTCTGAACCAATACCTGCCGTCAATAGTTATTGAGTATGATGAACGGATGTGCGTGCAGCAGGAGGGTGTCTGCATATGCTCGTCGGTCGCGCCGCTCTTGGCCGAGTTTTATCTCAACACAATGATGTTGTCGATTTACCTTTGAACAAAGCCTACAACAGGGGGCCACTCTCTCATTCTCTGAACCACAACTCTGTATAGTTGTGTTTGAGAAGATGAGAAAGTTGCCCCCCGTTGTAGGCTTTGTTCAAAGGTAAATCGACGACATAATTGTGTGCACTTTCCAAGAACACTTATTGGATTCCCTACAAAATGTAATAAGTTCAGCGGCACCGGAGCTGCGGTTCACTGAGAAAAAACCGGAGGAGAATGCCATTCAGTTTCTGGATTTACGCATTCCAATGGGCTGTGTTGGGAATACGGGAAGGAGGCGGGGGAAACCCGTTCTATCGAAGCAGAGTTGTCATTCTAAAATTGTAAAGGCAGGGGCAATGAAGTTTCTGGCTGAGAACGCTCTAGAAAGGTCATGCACCCAATACATGAAACAGTCTTTAAGAAGACAATGGGGAAGGTTGGAGAGTGCCGGCTATCAAGAGGCCTTCATGAAACGGCAACTTGCTCTGCCATCCCGTATTTTCACGCCATTTCGCAAAACTTGAAGGCGTGTGCAGAGAGATTTGGAGTTGACATTTACATGTGATTTCAAATTGGCTAAACTTTTGAAGCAGGGCAAAAAGAATGTAAAAAAAAGCATCGCGAGAGCTTTGTTTTATGTGTAAGTGGAGTAATGCACGAAATTCCCTTGAAGTGCGGCTTTAAATATATTGGTCAAACTGGCAAGATGCAAACGATAAGTTAACAGAACATAAACGGAATGTGCGGATTAACGCTTCAAACTCTGAACTAGCGAGGCATGTCCAGGAATGCAATGAATACACAGCAAACTGGTCAGAGACAGAAATTGTACAGAAAGAGCGTGAGGAGATGAGACGAGTTGTGCAAGAAACTGTTCGCATAAAAAGGTCGGGAAATTGCATCAGCCAAGTGGCATTGCAACTTGGAAGTGAGTCCAAAAAGTTCCTTCGACTGTAAAACCTTGTGCGGGGTGAAGTTAGGAGGGGGCAGGGTTGCTCCGCAGAGTTGGTTTGCCATGTTCGGTTCGGGATCATAATGAGGGGCAGTAATGGCGACTTTGTGTGATTCATGGTTCAGTTTAATTAGGAGGGGTGGGGAGCTAGAAACGGTCTTTCTATGTTTCCCAGGCGTGTGATGCATTTTCCGTTTCGGGATCCTTTTGGGTGCGGTGGAAACGACCTTGCCTTTCTGTTTTTTTTTTTTAAAGGGACCATGAAATGATTTTAAAATCGAGTTTCATCCACCGCACGTCGTAAAAGGTGTGAAAAGAAACACAAAAACACAAAAATAGGGAGCCCAAAAAAATTATTTGCTATAGAACTTTTAAAAGAAAACTGGACTCTTTTGCGCCTTCCTTCCTTCGCCTGTTCACTACGATGCATACGCAGAATCGGTGCACGTCAGCCGAATCCACATCGCCTATTGGGTAAGAGCCTACCTCACCAGCACCGCGATCGTAAACAATAAATAGCCGGCGAATGTTTCCTAAAAGTTTTGTTAAATAATATTCAGATCCACATTTTGTAGCATAATTAGAGATGTGTGGCGAAAATTGCCAAATTTGATAATGCTGAGAGCCAAGCGCCATCTATCGTGTGGTAAACGAAGCAACTACTGCGCGTGCGCAGTAGGGCAGGGCCGCCAGTTACTTGGGTGACGGCGACCGACGAACATTTATTTTCTTTGTTTTCCTTCCTCTCAAAACTCTGACTGACTGAACGTTTATTTTTCTACGTGTTCTTCCCGCGCGTGCCGACTTCAAGCAGCAAGAAAACAGTACTTAAAACAGACCACGACGAACAAGAACGCTGGATTCACCGACTCCGACGAAGCGTATAGGCCTAGCAGGCATTCCGACTCGGCGCTGCGTTGCTTCGTCGCAAGACCGTCTGCCTACGACCGGCTGGCGTGCTAAATGGAATATGCCCGCGCGACCCTTGTGGACCCTTCCCGTATTATAGTTTGATCACTGACCTCAATTCTAGATTAAGAGGTGAGGAGGTCAATCTCTTCCCCTTGTTTTCCGAGGCAGTGTTGACGAACACTCGTCGAAAAGGGACTCTCGTCGATTCTATCTTCTTGTTTTGTGTGATATAGAGCTGAAATAAACGCCGTATGGATTGCCTTCGTAACACGGTATGTACACTTTGTTATTGGTATGCCATTTTTATTCTGACAGACTGCACGTCACTGTCGACCCCGGTCCAACCTTTCTTTGCCGACTGTCGCGTCAGTATCGAGTTCCAATCGTAAAAGAACGGTCCCGAAGAGCTTACCAACAGCGCGAATACAAGACTTCCATCAAGCGCGCGCGTCCGCTCCGAGTGTAAGCAGGTATTTACGTGGCTCTTGCTGACACTCGTAGTTCAAACGTATCTTTTTTAACGTCGGCTCGCTCCTGCATCTCCGAGGCCGCGAAAAACGCCATCTACGTCGCTTTGCAAACGACTGACACGGGCCGGCCCTTCTACCAACAATGACGGGGTGGTGACAAGACTCGCTGCACTTCCCAACAGGCATACCGGCGTATGGGACTAGTCCCATACTGTCGCTGTAGCGCAACATATCTCATTGAATTTCGCTCAGCTGCGATGCGGCGATGAGAGGCGCCGATTCAGGAAATACGTCGGTGACATCAGCGCAGTAAAACCTACCGGCGCACCCCAACTCGTTGCCGCTACTGCCGAGAGAACTTCCGGTTCCGGAAACGGTCTACGTCACGGCTTCTTTTGCGGTCAGTTGGAGAGAATGAAAAAGTCGATATTTCAATAATTTTTTGTGTAAAAGTTAATAAACCGAGACGAAAACGGATGCCTGTTCGGCATTCAGTGAACATTGACGGTTTAATGTAAAAGTTATCTGGAAAAAGTAAAAAGGTCATTTCATGGTCCCTTTAATATTTATTTTGGACCCGGTGTGTTGGGTGAAGATGGAAATGATAGGGCACGTTTTCCTTTATTTCTGGTGTACTGTTTACGGTTCGGTGTATTGTAGGTGGTTCTGGTGTATTGTTTGCAGTTCGGTGACCATCGGTTGTGGTGGTGGCGACGTTCGGGGGAGGGGTATATTAGGCCGAGAGACAATACAGTTTGTTGCTGAGTTTGGGACGTTGTCTATCTTTTTTTTCTTCCTCCTTCACGAGTTTCCGTTTTTCAAACCACAGCCTCAGGTTTCAATCATCATGTATAACTTCCACCAGTTCGCCTGCCCTTTAACCGTTCTTTTCAAATTTTCGTTGCTGTCAATACGCTGACTCACATAGAAAATTATTATCGCGAAATACATATATAGTTTGAACGGGTCCATATCACAAGAGCGAATGACATTTTAGCGAACGGCGACATTTGAGCGAATGCTCGTTTTAGCGAATAACGGGGGCGCGCGTTAACCCATCCGTCGCGCTGCGCTTTACGCCGCTTCGCGGCGACAGTCTGCGGCAACTCATTACAAAAATGTGAACCCATTTGGCCCACCCGAAAACGCCGCTTCGCGGCGTCCGACTATTCGCTAAAGTGTCATTCGGTCAAACGTGGGCGTTCGCTAAAACGTCATTCGATCAAGTGAGTGCCTCCCAGTTTGAACTAGGATATTTGCGTAAGAAGAATACAAAGAGATGAGGTAGCATTGTAAAGGCCCGCTCACACACTTTCGTCCGACTATACGACGGACTGAGGTTTTTGACGTATTTACTCATGTTGAAACGACAACATTTATCAAATATAGCCATATATTGAGCACATAATGACACATTTTGCCAACCTATGACATTATACCCATTGCGCGTCACGCCTTAGTTCTCGTGGCCGCCACCGCGCGGCTGCAAATCGCGATATTCCCGTTCTTTCCTTTGCTACTACGCAACGAAATCTCGATATTTTAAAAGAATGAGGCGGTTTCTCCGTTCATTTTGGTGAGATACACAATATAAAAATTTAAAACTGTTTATTCTTTCGAAGTTAATATTGTTGCCCCTTTAAGAGGTGAAGTCAGGACACATAATTAAAACCGGAGACAACAGAAATAAAGGGACAGGACAAGAACACGTCTTTTTATCGAGACGTGCTGTTGTCCTGTCCCTTTATCGGGTCCAGGACAGTTTGTCGAAAGCCCATTCGTTGACGGACAACGGGTAGACGGACTCTTCGACGTATGGAGCAACTCGCACTAGGCGAATTCGTCGAACGGGAGACTTGTTGAAGCGGCCTGTTCGCAAAAATATTAGTCGAAAGAACTACAACAAAGTTAGAGTGAGGTGCTTTTGAGCCTCGAAGTAAATCTCACTACGATTCGTCGACTTGATAATGCAAATTTGATTATCGACATTGAGAAAAAGAGCGATGGTTTACAAACATAAACTGCTTACATGGTGTAGCCTTTTTGTAAATTCGTGACTAAATGATGTCGCTAAGAAATTATGTTGGTCGAAAAGAATATCGCAAGTGAGACTTTTTTACTTCCGTACACATTTTGCTCTACGAAGTTGCAGAAAGAATAATTGCAAAAACAGGTTTTATTGTATTCCTGCGATAGCCGTGCCTTCGAGGTTGTTAGCCAACGTCTATAGCCTTGCAGACTTTTCTTTGCTGACCAATCTAGTTCGTCGTGGTGGCTGTACAAACAGCAAGGTGTAATACGCTGTACGCGTATTACAAGTGTCGACCAAAGACCATTCAGGATGAGAAGAAATCAGCCCTTCGCTTGGTCTTCTCCAATTCCATAATGATATAGAGTCGATAGAACGTCTTCACGCAAAGCCCGGTTTTTATCATTTTTAATGGCGTGAAGTTTCACGACTGACTACCGGACCCTTGTAAATTCTGAGAACTGCATTTTTAGTACTTTATTTTTGGCAAACAGGGTCCCATTGTTGACCCCCAACGTCCTCGGGTAATTCTAGACACCCTGTGCAACTCTTTTTGACCGTCGGACCTCGTTCGACGAACGGGCACTTTCGCCCAATTCTTCGTTCTGCGATTGGCCTAGGGAGAACTGCCCTATTCGAAGAAGCTTCTTCGAGTTGTCCGTCGACCAATGGGCTTTTGACGAATTGGCCAGATTCGCTTTTTATCTCTGCCGTCACCGGTGTTCACAATGTGTAACTTCAACCAGCTCGCCTGTTTATTCACATTATCATCAGAAGTCAGGCCTACTTTAGTTCTGCTTGCGATCGCAACGAGCGCAAGCAAAACTGAAGTAGTCCTGACTTCTCATGATAATGTGAATGAACAGGCGAGCTGGTATAAATTATACATCGTTAAAACCGGTGACGAGGTAAATAAAGGGAAAGGACAACAGCACTGACAGGAACAAAAAAAAAAAAAAAAAAAGGTAGAAAATAAAAAAAATAAGCTTCGGTTCAATCTAAAAGCGATTATTCTCTCTGCTAAAAAAGATATTTCTTTTTAGGGGCGAAGCTCCTTGAGGGGTATTCACACGAGGGAGAAATCCCGGGGATTTCTCCCCGGCACGCGCGCATCACGAGACGAAAACGCGAGGCTTTTGCACATCGCAATGCCTGATGTTTTCGTCACAGGATGCGCGTGCCGTGGAGAAATCCCCGGGACTTCTCCCTCGTGTGAATACCCCTTTACGGGCTAGCAATGTCCGTATGTCCGTCCGATGTCCGGCGTCGGGGGCTCGTGCTCCTGCTCGTGAGCTCACGCGCTCACTTGCTCACGAGCACGGGAGCACGTGCTCCCGTGCTCTTGTAGGGCAAAAAAAAAAAAAGCAACAACCGCATCTCTACGTTGTGAATGATGTTGATTGGGGCGAAGCTCTGGTGGTGCTTGTCTGCGTAGACGGTGAGCCGCAGCATGCCGAGCCTTTCGTTCGTTTTCATCCATGTCAGAAAGAGAATATGTGGTATGGGAATGTGATTATATACGCATTTGAGCATTTGACCGCAGCGTTCGGTATTTCAAACTCAAAGCCGAAAGCAAAAGACCCCGAGAAATTCTCTGACGATCTGCATTCCCCAGTATTGGGAGGAAGTAAGCGCTGGGGGGGGGGGGGGGGGGGGGGGGGGGGGAGGGGAGGGGAGGGGAGGGGGGAGGGGAGGGGAGGGGAGGGGGCGGGGGTGCCTGCACTTGTGGATACGTACTTCGAAGTAAATTTTTTAAGTACACTACTCCAAATTTTATTAATGTTTATGGTTGAATATTGAGGTAACTGCTAACGATAAATAGAAAACCTTACATAGGCCAAAATTCTGCTCAGCAGAGCGCCTGTGCCAAGTCATTTAAAACGCTCATAGCACGAAATGCGAGTCTTAATAGCGAGCATAGAAACAATATATTACGATTTCTGTTGGTAGTTTCTGATAGACTACTATCTTACCTAACTGTGAATAAAAAATAAAAGAATTAAAAAGTTTTTTTTTTTTCAAGAAATCGATTCCAAACTTATTAGTTTTTCGAAATTTTCGTTTTTCAGGAACATGTAGCGCGATATATATATTTATTGCAAAATATTGAATTTATATTCCGAAAGAAAGAGCTTAATTGGGGCTTTACGGTGATATAAAGATCATAAAAATATGTTGTTCAGGTCACACAGCACAGCTTGCTGAACATTTTCAAATATCGTCGCAGAGAGGCGGTTTGACAAATAAAAAAAAAAGTGTCGTTAAGAACGTTATGACCTAGACGCTTAATTGACATGAAAAAACATATGTCTAGAGTGTTCCCAAAAATTGATGTAGCGTAAAAAGTAGGGGAAAGGGATGGAGTGAAATATTGCACCTCCGATAAGCTGGAAAAACGTCAGTTTCCACCTTGGCAGCTTCAACGGTTCATAACTTGAGAACAAAAAATCCCACGAAATTGCCGTTCGCGTCTTTTTTCATTATAGGAATTGCCCCAACACATATATTTTTTTTCGTCAAAACTAAAAATTCGTCCTTAAATCCGTGCCCGAGTTGAGATGCGGAGTGATAACTGCGAAAGTTGTATTTACGTTATACGTTATGTGACTAACGACTGGCCCAATGCCTTTTTTTATAGGGGGACGCAACGTCAAACTCCGAAGAGGAGAAACAGAGCACAGGCACTACCGAAGAGTCTACTGCTGTGAAAGTTACAGAAACGCTAATAACAGAAGCAGAGAACGCCTGCACGGCGAATATAACTGGTTGGACCCCTCCAACCACGCCGGAACCGACGAAGTCGCTTGAGCCTGTGGCCGTCCCCTGAGGCGTTGTCCGCCGATCTATCACCCGGTTATTACCAGAAACTACTTGCATACGCTTCAAAACCACGTACAGTACACTGCGTGGCTTTGATGCCCGTGCAAGAAGAATGCTGGTACGGGTAGAACGGTGGTTTGTGGATCGATTTGAATAAAAGTCGATGGAGACTACAAATTAGTTGTCGATTGGGCTCTTGGATTCCTGTGAGGGTTGACGATACGTTATAATAAAATTACAGCGCCTTACTTTAGTCATTAGAAAAAAGATTTTCAATTAGCAGAATAATGTTATAACGTCTATAGAAATGATAACAGTATACTTGACGTAACTTTACATTGTATTAATGCTTATTGCTGTAAGCTTTGAGAAAATAAAAATTTGAGTCTGGAAAAGGATGCAAACCCAAATTCCAGTGCAAAATCTACACGGGCGAGCAAGCGTATGTTCATCGCTCCAGGAAACGAGGAACTTGCGCTTTTCATTAAGTAAAGTAATAATAATTCTAGTAATAATGTTAACTCTTTATTTGTCAGTTTCACAATAGTGGGACTCAGGAAACAAATGTAGGAACAGCTTTACAAGTTCCCATACGTGTTAAAACCAACTACGTACTTTAAATAATCGGCGAACCAGCGCACGCCGAAGGCGCGAGACCGCGAGCTGATTCGTCGATGTTTTAAAGGACTTCGGTCTGAACGCCTTTAACGGGCCCGTCTGATAGCCCTGTCAGACAGTCAACTCAAAGGCCATTTAGGCCAAAGCCCTTCGAGATTTCCAAAGTCATTCGGTCATTCAAGCTTTCGGTTGTCAAACGTTCGGAGACTTGGAGAACAACTCGAATGCCATTTAGGAGATGTTTATTGCAATTGTAGTTTTCGATTTGTTGGAGACAACGGTCACCCATTTAGCAAAATAAATAGCTCGATAAAACAAAATTGCTCATGTATTGCCATTTAGTTTTGTAAAAAATATTAGGGGTTCTGTTTCTTTAATGGAAATACGGCAAAAACACCCAATGCTTGTACAGTTCTGGTATGCCCCCCCCCCCCCCCCCCCCCGCCCCCCAATAATTTCTCGTTATTATGAATGCAGATAGTTTGGTTTGGCGCTCTGCATAACTGCATATATATACCGGCACCACCGTGCTTGCGCGTCTGCCTCCATGCACTACCAGCCAGTTTGCTTGCCGATACGATTTGGCGTGGCTGGTATGATATTGCGTCCGATGACGTAGGCGACCGACATCTTTCAAACAAAACGCTTATACCACAGGACCACCGTAAAACCAAATCATACATGTAGAAAGGCGACCGCCATCTTTCAACAAAACACCCATCATTTACCGTTGGTATCGTTACATATACCATACATGTCGAAACGGAACTCATACTGACGTTGAGCTCACTCGAATTCCTCGGTAAAATTTTCACGGCGACGTCTTGGGGTGACGGTCTCGAATAATGTGCACCACAAGTATTCGACAACCGCACCAGCCGTTGGCTTTCTTATGCGGTACGCATAAGAAAGCCAACGTGCACGGCATCAAACCAATCGTGACGCCAAACCGAGGATATCGCTTCACCGGTTGACAGCGGCGAACGGGCCGTTGCTCGTACTCGTCCAACTTGGCGTTCTTTCGTGGCTTCGTTGGCTTTGTCTTCGGCTTGGCGATATCGCATATCGCTGTGCCGCGGAGAAGAGCGGACCGGTTCTTTTTTTCGACACCGTGCTACCGAGAGCGGAGGAACGTCCTGTTGGAAAATCCTGATGATGGGAAGATGATGAAAAAGGCCTCATAACAGCGTGTCGTGTTGTAGAACATCCTGCCAGCAAAAAGGCGACTCCAGAATAGTGGATTACGGCGGAAGGATACAGGTAGGCGGAACCATACAAGCGTGTCGTATTATGGGACATCCTATACCAGCGTAGTGGATTACGACGGAGCCATGCTGGCACACGGAACCATACGAGGATAACGTCCTATGGGACACCCTATACCAGCGAAAAGGCGATACCACCATGGTGTAGTCATGTGGGAGAATTCACCCCCATGGCTCCACCATGCTGGTATCGCCTTTTCGCTGGTATACAGGGAGATTTTTTTAACCTTTACATATTTGTTTGAGAAGGTCGTGAAAGCTACACTTTTGCGGTTTGTGCAGGTGAGTTATACGGCCAGAAGGACGTGGTATAGGGGCCTAATCGTAACGATCAGTCAGATATGGAAAAAAGCTTAGAACAGTGCAACCTAGGTTTTGACCTGACTTACATGGAGGAAGGACATAAACTAAATCAAGCATTCCCAGGGTTATTGTATGCAGACGATATTGTACTGGTATCAGGAAGTCATGGGACGATACAGGAACTGATTAGGATTTGCAGTAGGGAAGGGAACAATTTAGCACTAAAATTTAGTAGGGACAAGTCGGGTATAATAGTTTTCAACGACGAGAAGGGAGGACACCCTGGAGATACAGGACATATTGATAGAACTCGTAGAAAAGTACAAATATCTGGAAGTATGATTAAGTGAAGGAAGACGGCATCTAAAAGATTATGCATGAGACAAGTAAGCCGGGCACGAACGAGTGCTTCATAACTATGCGACTGCAAAAACGCGTGTGGAAAACTTTTGTACTTTTGTGTTGGAAATAAAATGTTCAATATATTTCAAGATGTCGTAGATCTTACAAGCTGCTCCTAAACCCTAGCTACGCAGACGCAGTGCTTTCGAATTGAGCTCACAAATTCGGGCGCACGATTTTTCGAGCTCTGCAGAATATGGCTACTTTTGGGCTACATAAATATATTGCATTTGGCTACCTTTGGGCTACACCGTCTGACTTTTGGCGGTTTGAGCTAGAAACTACCTTGCAACCCTGAGTGTGATGCATTGGGTGGCGCTTGTCTCTGTTCGGAGGTAGGAATAAAAATATCGGTCCCTTTTTTGACGACGCTCGTTTCTATAGCTTGGGTTTTTATCTCAAGTGACGTACAGCCTTTTCGAAATCGTACTTTGCGGCGGGCGATTGAGAGTCAGGTTAGCATTTTATTTTGGTCAGCACTGCACGTTCAATGGAGACCTCGGTCGGCGATGTTAATATATCTTGCTCCCCAAAGTGTGTCCAAGGTCCGCAGTGACATTTGGAAATGGCATTGAAGGCGCGCGACCGTCGGTTGGTAAAATACGTGCGTTAGATTCACTTATTCAGTCTAATGGCATTTTTGCCATCGTATTTTATCTGTTTCTAATTTTATTTGTTTCGACAAATGACATGGTCGAATCTATTGATAACCTTAGGTAGACTGAACGTACGGAGTGTCCGGGCTTTTAATACATTTCACTTGTTTATGTGAATTAATAACGGTTTTCTCTTTTCTGTACTCGGTGCTATGCAAACATCGCTTAGATGTTATGGTAGTGTTGTGTGGCAGCGTTTTTCACAGTCACTCGCTATTGCATTCGCTGTGCACAGGATGTGCTCACATGGAATGTGTCAAATCGTATTTCCAATCGATATGATAAATTTACTTTGATACAGTGTTAATTATATTCTCCTGTTTTAAACTGGTCCGTCCCTGATCTGAGCCCAAATTCAAATTCGAGAGTGCAGACAGACTTAACGTCGTAACAGCCGTAATGCGCAGAAATAAATTAGTACCATGAAAGAAAAACAAGAGGATACGAGGCGGCTCGGTGTTGTAGAAGTAATGAGTGTACGAATGATGCCATCGTACGTTTTATTTCTTGTTGAACGCTCCTGGGAAACGCTCAAGGTACCAGCGAGCGAAGACAACGGGCTGGCGTGAAATTTCCATCGAACGAAAAAACGAGCGTCACTTCCGTTATGCGCTTTCATTTCGATATGGCGCAAAATGCGCTCAAAATAGTAACAGGTAAGGCAACAAAATTTAGATGTGAGGTCTGGAACACCGCCAGACTCAACCGTGTTGGGGGCATCTCTCGCGAGTCAATACGTCAAAGGTACTACGCGTCGAACTGTACGTGTGAGTTATTCATTTTAGCGAAAACTTGATTTTGCAAAGCTATTGTGCGTTTGAAATATGCATCATGTTAGTCAGCTATAGCTATACCCTCTCTGACTAGCTGCGCGCGGTACTTGAAAGCCACGAGCGAGAAATAAATGAAAGTTGATCTTTTAGGACAATCACGCCGTGGAGACCCATAAAAGAGAGTCCCGATAAGAAAAGAGCCCCCTTCCCCTTCTCTTCAAGTGCTTGGGATTCGCTCTCAATCCTGCACCTTTGGTGCAGGATTGAGAGCGTAACCCAAGCGCACACCTAAAATCGCCTTCTTCCCTGAAAAACAAGTTGGCCTTCAGAATTGAGGGGTGCTACGCGAAAGCGAGCAACATGTCACGAGGACGAAGGCGAGGTGCTCCGGGCTTTGAAAGCGCTCCTGATCGCAAAAACAAGTTTTTTTTTTTCTTTTTTTTGTCGTGGCACAGTTTTTTTTTTTTGTCCACTTTGATACCCCATCAGCGCAAAAACTACTGTAAACTAAAAAAAAAAAAAAAAAAAAGAAATAAATGGTGGGCACACAGCGACGACGCACCCACTGGGACCCGAGTCAAGGCAAGAACAACTAACTACTAAAATAAAAAGAAAATCATGTTTGCATACATAGACAGAACGCATCCATCGAGAGAAATGAACCCCGCGCTTGTTCTGCCAGTCTCGTTGTGCTTCCGTCAAAAGCCACAAGGGAGGAAGACAATCGGCGCCTCCCCCCCCCTCCCCCCCCCCCTTCTAAAGAAAAGGAAAAGAAAAGGAAGGTTTTTTGGACGCCTGCGGTCGCCCAAGCCATGACCTTGGAAGGGTATGCGATTGTAGCACGTTTGCCCAGCGGCAGCTCCCCTGTCTCAAATGTTACGGTCCGTTTCGCCCAAGTACCAAAGTCCCCGCCTTATCTTCCCCGAGTATCAAATCCGCAGTGATTCTGAATCAATCCGATACTTTCTGACGTTGCAAAACTGTTAGAGGAATATTTGCACACAAGTATACACTGTTCACAGAACTATCTGCAGTGCTAAAATTCAAAAGCGCTGTGTTGGATTCGGGAACTCGTGTAGGTTTAGCTCATCGTTGGAAAATACTTATTCGCTCGATGAACT